CGGGGGGGGGGGGGGGGGGGGGGGGGGGGGGGAAATGCCTTCACCGGCAGAACCCATTTCGATCAGCTTCACGATTCCGACGAAGGTTCCCGCTACGCATTTCCACAGAAATGTTCCTCTTATCCGTGTTGGAACAGATACCGTAAATTTGGAACTGGCCGGCGAACTTTGAACTACGACAACCACACAAGTACAGTTGCTTATTTTGGCCTCAATTTTTCCACATTTCACTAAGTCAACGAAAGAATGAAGAAAGAAAAAACTGTTTGCACCTCGCGCGTTTTTCTTGTGCTCTACATAGAGGTTCTTGATTATTTAATGGCCAGCGAACGAAATAATTTGGATCGCTCCGAAGATAGATTCAACTTGAACGACGCGTCATTATTTCGAGCACTCCGCAATATTTCGTGCTGTCTGACATAAGAAGTACAGTACTTCACAGAATTTCCCTGAACATGCTCCATCAGATGACGTGTTTTCTCTCAAGCAATAAGTATTTTGAAAACAAGCCCAACTAGTCCAATTTTCGGGCACATCCGTCACATTGGCATTGTTAAAAAGTCCTTGTCAAGGTTAATACTGTATTCATTCATCTAATATCATATATAGAAGAAATTCAGGCTTTTATTTATGAAAAAAGAATGCGATTTTTATCCGGAGAGAAAAAAAAGACAAATTCTTGAATATAAATTATCTTTGCCATTTCGAACTGTCAAATCGTCAAGTTGATAGCTTAAAGACCTTTTACCGCCCAAGAGAACATTTTTTTTAGTGTATTTATTTATTTTTTAATCCAACAAACTTTTGGTCCATAATGCATACCACCAATCCCTATCTTTTACAAGAAATGTGGGGTTTCTCAGGACAACTTTAGTTCTATACAGTACAGAATTACAAATCACGAGAATGTACTTATCACGTGTATTTTAATAAACGTCTTTAACATAGCTTCAAGAAACGTATAAAACGTCCGGAAAGTGATCCTCAGGGAATTCCTCTTCAGCGAAAGAAGGTAATTTTCAAATACTGTACAGTACTATACTCGTATACAGTATACAAGTTTCTTGTAGACGTAGTAATGGATTACAGTATTACAAATATCGCTGATGAAGTCGAAGTTATAGAGCTGCTCGGAAACGCATGTCATGGTCGAACCTCGCTGAGAAGTCAGATTTTACTGCATAAATGTTTTCGGTGATGTAACATGACCCCGGACTCGGTGAAACGCTTGAAGAATGCACTTCTATGACCACAGAGACGGGTACATTTTCCATATCGACAGTGGAGCTTGGCTCTCATTCCTTGCGATAAAAAAAATATACCTTAGATTAGAACCTCTGCAAGTCGAATTTCAAGGGACCAGCAACAAAATTCGAGTTAGAGAGGTTTCGAGTTAGGGCACAAGCATTTTTGCTAAAGGGTGGGGGGGGGGGGAGAAGTGAGAATTACTGGAAATTGTGATTGGTGATATTTTGGGCCCTAATTTGCCTCTTGAATGAGTTGACAGGATGATGAACTACATAGAGGGAAAGGTTCATTTGCCCAATTAGCTTTTCGCCCCCTTTCAAAACACATCGTCACCTTTTTATTGCTTTTATCTTTAGTTTGTCAAGAAAATTATAGCAAAACGGCCTCAGAAAATTTGAGTTATGGAGTTTGAGAGGACAAGTATTTGAGTTGGAGAAGTTTTTAATGCATTATTCCCAAGGGAATTCAGATAGGGACTTGAAAAAATTTTCAACCTAGGGAGGTATTTGATTTAAGGAGGTTCGATTTATGGAGATTCAACTGTATACGTTGTGACATCGATATGCGGACACCCCGACATACGGACAATTCAACTTAGGGACACTTGTAAACCCAAAAAATCAGGCCCAACATCTGGACATTGTCTCAAGTTAGGGACACTTTTCTGGAATTTTCCCAAAAAATCAAAACATTTTATTTTAAAATGTTTCTTTCTTTTGAAAAATTCAAGCTACAGTGTTTACATTCACTGAATTTGAAAAAGTTTTAGGATAAATTAACACTAATCCATAATCAAAAGAAAGCTGATTTTTTGCTTTTTTTCAGAGTTTTTTGTTCTATCATCTGTGCATATTTTAACAAGACCTTTTTTTTCTTTGCTTTTTAATCTCCTTTTGACACCAAAAGATCAGATTCTATGTGGCTTTGTTCTGCACTGTTGTTTTCTACAACTAGAAGTGAAGGGCAATAATTTTTCTTAAACTTTTTGAGGACTCATTTCTAATTTTTGACAAAAAAGGGAACCAAATAAATAAATTAGTATTCAAGTCTAAGGGAAAATGAGACTCGACTTGGGGACATCAGGACACTCTTGATTCACCAATTGCGTCCCCATCTGGGGGCCTCACTTTATTTACAAAAGCTTACAGTCTAGGCTCTAGGGCAATCATTTCGGTCACCGTCGTCATGGACAAATAACGCGTCGTGCAACTGCGGAACAACGTTAGCCGTGGCAAGGACGCAATTCCTGAAGACGATCCGGGGGCAAACAACGGTGCTGGAGTCGCATCCCTCCCGTCACTTGGACGGAACCAGAGAAGGTTTCTCGCTAGCGCCAGAGGGTGGCGAGGAAAAAGCACGGGGATACAATTGACCCCGTCGCCAGGAATCGTCTTCTCCGCGATGACTCATCGTTCGCACCCCCCGCCATTCATTCTCCACATATAGGGATGGGTTGCATGACTAGGGCTTCGCCCTCACGCTGAGAGCGAATCGTCAGGGGGTGCATGGGTTCCGATCATCGCGCTACCCGTCCCTGCTTTTTTTTCCCTTCTTCTCCGTTTTCGCCACGTCAGAACTCAACGTGCTTTGAATCCCGTGATTTTCGTCTCGACGCGGGAAAAAGAAAACAATTCCCCGTCGTTGATTATTTCCCGCGCTTCTGAATTCCAAGCACCTCGCATGAGCACGCGCGGCTTCCTGCAGCAAAAGTTCAGACGCGGACAACTTCCTGGGCGCATAAATTATCCCACCTAACTTTCAAATCGTGCCTTTTCTCATTTCCGCGCGCACAGATAAACATCTATCTTTATTGAAGTAACAGTATCAGGGATCCGGGAGATCCAAACACGAACCTCCCATTCTTGACTCGAGACTTTGCTTAGCGATCAAATAAATGCGGTATGAAATTTTGAAAGGTTTTTTTGACGTTCCTCGAAAAGTTGCTCAATTTTGAATTGCATAATCTCCAGAGTTAACTACTTCGACAAGAACTCCCGATACAGGGATGCATAATTCACATTCATGCCCCGGGTAGGCCAGAAAGAAAAAAAAAATTTTTTTGAGGAATAAAAGGACTCTAAGCCATGGTTTTGGTGCTCATCAAATTAAAAATCATTCAATTTTTTGTCCAAATAATATGCAATTAACGGGATTCAAGGGCATTGGCTTGACCAGCACGTTCATTCACGTAAAATGCAATTCAACCCCAATGATCGGATCAAGCGTACCCTTATTACTGAAAAAAATGAAATGGAACGCAGGACCCGTAAACTTTGTGATTTCAATTCGCTGTTCAATGTTCTCCTGATCAAGTAATTATGTAGGCCGATGTGTTTCGATATCGGCGAGAATGCTATTAATTGTATTTCGGGTCATTCTTGAATTTTTGTCGATTGAATGAGTCGTGCTTAATTATATATTTCATTATATCTTTGATCTTCAATTATTCAGGCAATTTCACCCCGTCAGTAGTCCGTGTAATCAAAGTATACTGTATTTCTGAAGAAAATTTTTCACATGCGTTTTTACGAGGGTTGATTACGTTAGTTTCAAGCATGTTCCGCTTGTGTGTATTGTAGCTTTAAATGGCTTTTAAACTGTCAGCCATGAACAAATAAATTGCATCTGTATAGAGTTATATTTCAGGCCATTGTTTTCTGGTCTACCCTGCTCAGGAATATATCTATATTCTAGGCACACTATCTCTCATTTTCATCTTTTCCATTAATCATGACTGACACGAGAAACGACGAGGAGAATAAACTAAAATCTTCTCATTCGGGAAACAAGATTGGGTAATTTCACTACACGTCTTGCAGCTCACTTTTAATTAATCAGACATTTTTTCTGAAGTCCAAGTGAACCTTTGAAACAACATTTTGCATTTGCTTGTCATAATCATTTTTTATGTTTCGAGCTGCATGATCGTGACAGGAGATACAGACAGGCTATATATAATTAATTATTTCCCTTTATCTGACAGTAAACAAGGGCTGGGCAGTCCAGAGGAAGCTAGAAAATGTTCGAATGATTTAGTCATTGAAGAGTTTCGAAGAAACGCGACGAAAATTCGAAACTTGAAGACCTCCTGCAGTCTGCATGGTGACTACGGGATGTAGGCAGGACACGACGTCATGTGGCTCTTGGAACTAACAAGAAGTCACTTCAATTCTTACGCGCGTAGAAAGAAAAGTTTTGGCGATAGAAATTTCAAGCGTGCATTTACCTGGGTCCTTGACTTGACACGATTCTGGCTGAATGTAGGTGTTGTCGCAGCCGTTGTGGTCTTCACCGCGGTGCGACTCGTCGCAGAGATAAATCTTCTCGGCCTCACCCGGGTCCACGTACGACTTGCAGTCCAGGGGGTCGCAGTAATTCCCTAGCAATCCAACCTGTTGAAACACGGATAAGTCGAATTGTTAGAGCGGAACGAATCCACCTGACATCCAGATTTGATCTATATTCATGATCTCTCCCATCTTCGCGGTATCTGAACCTTCGCATATCTTGATGCACTGTGAGAGAAAACTCCTGCCATGAAAGTGGTACATTGGTGTCTCCGGGGAGTCGGATCCCGAACAGGCTAAAAAGGGTCATCTCATTCTTGCAGACCGAGTTCGCATCAGTACAAGAGCGGAATTTTATTTAACCAGATCTTCCATCATTTGCAGTAGCCGGTTCTGGAAACATTGTGGAGAACGGTCAGCGAATTGGTAAATCGAATCAGCGGGATGTTAGCCCACGGCTCTTTCAGTTCCATCTGAGGTACGCGATGAAGAAGAGCAATTCAAGGTTTGCAATATTTACACATACATATAATGCCATCGATTGCCCGTACCGTTTCTTATCCCTTCAGACTGAAAAAAAAAACGAGATGTGCCATTTAAAACGCTCTGTAGTGTGCCTCGCAATATTTACGCATCACAGAAACTCTTTCGAAAAGGGGCGACCAAAAATGCCCGAATTCTCCCAGGACAATATCCATTGAAATGAAATGCATCACAATAACGAACTGCTGTAATTTCACCTTCATGTGAAATTGAGCATTTACGCTAGATCACAGGTATGACTCATCACTCAGAAAATCTCATTTTCTTCGATAAAAGAGTCAGTTTTATTAGATAGGCTTTCTGCATTCAATTCTGGATCATGCAATTGGTAGAGAAAAAAAATACGCAACTACGATGTGCATGATTTATTTAAATGGAGGCACGTTTTTACACACGCCATAAACTGCCGAGTGCGTCGCAAGCGAATCCAAGCCGCCATCGATTCAAAGGCCAATCTTCCTTTTTGTAACTAAAAAATCAAATGAAAGTGCAGTACGCGAAAGCACAGTACAGTATTCCAAATCCATTTCATTATGAGAGATTTGAATTTCCGCTCGAGCAGTCTCTCGGACTGTTCGATAGAACCGCTCTAGGAAACTGCAGAAAGTTTCTCCATCGCTCGAGTGCAGACATGGCTTCCCTCGCTGGTCTCGCGTGGTCCTTCTAATCCAGAATCAATGATTAGAACAAGAGGATCACTGATATGAATCTCTCCACGTTCCCCCGAGAAATTAATCCCCACGCATTCAGAGCTATGGCCTGAAGGCTCGCTAAGCTGCGAAGTTGTCCGGTACACTCCGCGCAAAACACAGGGTGGGGCCGGCTACTGCTCGGATTGCTTGCCTTTCCTTCTGCGCGGATTTCTCGGCATCATCGCAGCCCAGACGATTAGGAAGAGAAGAAAGCCAACGGAAGGCAACCCAGCAATGGTATGTGCGGCAGTATGCCTGCGTTCCCCGACCCGCAAAAAATAATATTGTAATCCTCTGCAGCTTCGGGGCGACCGAGAAGGATTTTGATGCCGACTGTCAGGAACGCATCCGCCTCGAGAGAGCGATTATTTTTCTGCCTTGGGGAATTATCCTACAGCATGCAAAGTTTCTTATTTGCACAGACTCGAGCCAAGCATAGAAATCAGAAGCTTTTTTTTTCTGCAAAAAACGCTCGATTTATGCACATTATTTTCCCGTGTAGATTTGATTTATATTCTGAGTTTACTCTATTGTAAGCAGCTTCTTCAGGAAAAGTATGCTCAGATAATTGAGCGCGAAATACACTCGAGATTAACCTCTTAACAATGTTCGACTTTCGACATGAAATTAGCAAAAGATGGTTCCATTTCAGTAGAATCAAATCGTTTCATTTTTACTCTGTAGGTCTTTCGAGCATCCCCATGTTTCCAATAGGACTCAGCTTTAAAAACTGCACATACAGTAAAAGTGAACTCTCTCTACAAAAAAATTCAAGTGGCCAGAGAAAAATCGTTGTAGAGATAATTTTGTTGTAGAGAAACCCTATTATTGTATATGGAGAGTTTAAAAAAATCACAGATCATTTTTGTGGGACTACAGAAAGTCTTATTTAAGAGGAAAATATTTTTAGACATGATCATTGCAGATAGCGTCCATCTGTATCATACTCTAATTCTTGGTACAGTACTGAACCTTTATCTAAGAAAGTTACGCGTTTTTCGATTGGAAAGAGTGATTTTTTCCTTTCAATAACTGCACATTTTGCGGCCAACCAAGTTGTTAACTTCAAATATTGTGGATGAATAAACTCAGGTTTCGGCCAAAAAACTTGCGAAGAATATGACTACTTTCATGTAGAAGAACTTCTTTCGGAAAAACATTCCCCAAAGCCTCCTTAAGATTAATGATTTTCTCTATGGTATTTTCTCGCATCGTAATTTGAACTTGGCGGCCTCTTCGAAAAAATAATCAGTGGAAGAATTTACATACAGTATTTTTAATCGTGCTTTTCGGCAGACGAATTTTCAATGAGACAAGGAGGCATAAATCGTTTTAATGTGGGCATATTACCCGTGAACCAGCATTTTGCACGCGAATCCAAGTCGCCTTCAATTTTAAGTGGTACTTCGGTTTTTGCGAGTAAAAAAGTCAATTTGGAAGTATTGAAGTGAATATAGTGAATGCATCTGTCGTCAGGGCCTCGGAGTCGAAGACAGGACACGGTCACTGCACTCGTAAGCAATTCATGCTAAACTTCGAGAAGACACTGTTAATTCCTGAACCTGGCTTCGAAATCCGCGATTCCTGCTGATTGAATTATTTCACTAATCTGCGCGGAACAAAAATTGCGGGTCGTGTTTCGTTGAGGATATTTCTATCGTTAAAAAGCAGAAGATGTCCATATTCTCCATCCTCATAAAACATCAGATAAGCGTGTTCCATATCGCAAATGTTTTCTCATAATCTATTGTTATCAATGAAAATTATCAGTGTTTTCCGATTAACCAATTCTGAACTTTATGTCAAACCCTTTTTGGCATCGCCAATGGAACGACATGTAGAGATAAAAGGCGAGGGAAGGATAATGATTAAGTATGAGAAAGATGTTTAATATACAGTAGTTAATCCTTCCGAGAACACAGAAGTAAATTCCAAGAATCGAGAATATAATTATACAATTATATTTGTTGTTTTCTGACCTGACCTCCACTGGAAGGATGTGTCCTTCAGACCTGGTTTCATATACCAGGATCCGTCCCTTAATTGAGTACCTCTTCATGGTACACCAATAACAAAAATCCCGAGATTTTGCGTATATAAACCACAGGCAAATCGTCCCCAAACCAGGCATTCGAGTGCAGAATCTATTTGCAATACTACTATGTAGGAGACCCCGATGAGTGTTGCCAAGTCTCTGTCTTGTGTTGTGTGGTTTTTTTTACTCTGTATAAATAAAAGACTATTTCGAAGTTTAAAGAAAAGATAAATTTATTGCTCGACACACTTCTCAGAGGAGACACACGACCTTGTAAGATTGAGAAAGATTCTATTTCCTTAAAAAAAGGATAACACTACATTTCAGAATTCCGTGATCTTTCGAAACCGTTCTCTCTAATTATGCGTTGGATGCTAGAAATTTTGGAATGTGTTTTTTCCCTCGCAATTGCAGACAATTGGTTCGATATACATACTGCGATGCGTCACGTAGAATTTCATTTCCCATCCGAGATTAAAAAAAAAATTTCAAGCTTTTCTAGCAGGAACGGATTTTGATCACTGCGTTGTTGAGCAATCAGTGCTGATATCCCGGATGGCTACGCGAATTCGCGAACGTGGCGTAGAAGGCCAAATCGCGTGCAAAACGAGCACGGTCCTCCATGCCTCCCTCGGGAGTCCTAGGACTGATGTTCCGCGAATCACCAATTCGCGAGACACGCGTGTGAGAACCTCGCCTGTTCGCGTTTTCTCTCATCTTCAAGTTTTCCCGTTCGTTTCGGGCAGATCAGGGATTTTCTACCTTTTCGTGGATTGTACAAATTTTGAGACGTGGCAGTGTCCATGTACCACCTCCGGGGTGTGTCACTTCCCCCCCCCTCCCCCCCCCCCCCCCCNACGCGAAAACAAACCTCCCCCCCCCCCCCCCCCCCCCCCAAGTACAGTACTGCACTGTCTGCACAGGATATCCCTCGGCCTCAGGGCTCTATGACAGTTTTGCAGTAAATCTTTACTAACCAAGGTTCCTGCAGTTCATACGCAACATTTTTGGGTCTCCATATAATTAAACTTGTCATCAGAAAATGGAAACATCGTCGAGTCCCGATGAATTTTTTTTGCAACGTGTTTTTAAATCATTACTTTGAGTTAAGGTGATGTTAATTGACTATGTAGTCATGTTCAACATAAATGGTTCAGTTTTTCAATTGATCATTCACCCAATCCCTGCCTCGGTTTATGCTAATTTAAGCGACGGGCACAAAAGTTCACATTTGAAACTTAAGGGATAGAAATTTGTGAAGCAGACTCTCGTTACAACGAATATCACTATAACGAATAATATTACCACGGATTCATTTTTTAGGTCCTACTCGATAGCCGCAATGTTTGTTTAATAAAAGCTTTTCCGCGAATTTTTCGTTATAACAATCGTATTTTAGAGTTTCCGATGGCTTCGTTGTAACGAGATGTTACTATTGTTCTTTCGCACGACGAAACGAAAAACTTCGATTTAGAGTCACCAGCGGATTCCGACGCAAAGCGGCAAAACGCGGAATTTCAGGCAACGGATTCCAGAGGAGAACGGATGCAACCGCGTTTCCCCGCGGCGAGGTCGTCGCGCCAGGGTTTCTTCGGAATGGAACTCCATCGATTCGTCGCTGACTGTCCTCGCAGCCATTTCCCAAGCGTACCTGAAAGTCATTCCGAATCTCCGAGGCAAAACTGATTTCTCGCGGCTTATCTTACACACCGAATCTAGCGTTCGACTGACAGAGAGCTTCAAACGTTTCAGACCTTTCAACGGATGGGGTTGGTTCTAACCGATGAAGGAGATGATAGAAAATGAAAAAGTTTCGGGGGGGATTTTCTGGAGCGAGCAAAGAGTACGTGAGAAGAGTCGCCGGTGAATTTGAAATGTACTCCGAGAAGCTCCGTAGCTCTGCAAAGATCAATCGGTAATGCGGATTCTCGGAGTATCCGAGTATGGAACTTTAAATTCGCTATTTCTTTCCTTCAATAGTCTCGAGTATATGTGGTAAAAAGCTTGGCAGCATAACAGCAGTTGACTAAAAAATTAATCTATAATCGCAAGAAAAATTTAGAAACATTAAAAAGGAGCATTCTCCGCGGCTCGAAGTACGAAAAACGATTTCGAATTATGACTTTTTGACCGTCGATGAGAAAACCTTTTTGATACGGAAATCGCTTATCTGATATAGATTCCAGTGGAATAAGGAAATGGAAGTCTTAAGAAACAGCGACGCGAAACGAAACACAACAGACGAAAGGTAAACCATGCCTCTGAACTTCACACAAGAAGCGCGCTATTTTTACTCCTGCATTACCGGCTCTCAAGGGATCCTTGAAGTCAGAAGAGGATGGAAAAGGTCTCAGGAGAAATGTGGCCTTCTTCGTGCTTTCGTCATTTTATTAATTCCTTCTATTTTGGCTGAGACCCTTCCTGTAAGAATGCCTCTCAACTGCGGCTCGTTTTGTAATGCACACACTGAATCAGCATTTTACAACCAAGAAAAATATTCCATTTACTGGTGTGTTATGCATCAAAGTGTAAGACGCGCACAACAGTTTCCAGAAGGAAGAATTTGATAGGAAATTATATCCGCTTACACACATGCCTCAGTTGATGCGATCAAAAATTTATGTGCGCATCATGCATGAGTGTCGTATTTTGACGCATGGACCGCATTTTCAAAGAAAAAACGTAGAAAAAGTTAATGCAAAAAGAAAATTCGGAGATTTTCTCCGAAAATTCGGAGCGTACACATTTAATTCCCAATCGAGCGTTTTTGTTTTTCGCATACATTTCAGTGCTTCAAGAGGAGTCAATGCATCAGTTGACTTTGGTGCTCACGCAATGACGCTTTCCTAATTTGTCTTCACAAAGCCTCGGTAAAATGCACTCGTATTCGAGGTAATATTCAAATATGATGCGCATCTTGAATTTTCGAGCGGGAAACAAATCAGGAATAAATGTAGTGATGCAACTAGACTTTCGGGTAAGCCTTTTGTTCAACTGATGGAGACCTGTGATAGCCTGTAGTGGTAGGGATTATTCCGGGTCCTTCAAAGGGTTCATCACACGTGTTCAAATTAATTCTGAAGGCTCGAACGTTCACGGTGACACCAAGACGAACTTATCCGTCTTCCCACCGAGGGCATCCCCACTGAAATGTCGCTTCAAGTCTCGACGAAAACTCGAATGTGAGGTTGAGCGAAGCGGAAACATATTCAGTACTTCATCCAACCCTGGGTGATGATCTGTCCCGATACCCGGCATCAGGGCCCGAATGGAACAAGCTCAAGGATGGCTGACATGAGATTTCGACGGTCGCATTCTACTCTACACTAGGGATTCATCACACGTTATGCGATTCGCTCCTCGTTTTCTCATCCGTGACTATGAGAGCATTTTCAAAAATCCGCGGTACTCGCCCATTAAGAAAAAAAAAACAATTGCCTGAAACAGATTCTAAACTTTTTTCTCCGCGAACCCTATTGGGGCTTACTACGATTTTTTGGAATTCCCAGACTCAACTATTAGACGAGCACACAACTCCCTGGCGGAAATGCACTCTTAAACGGGAGAGCATTGGTGCTGTCGACAATTTCCTGATGGGATTAACAGACGAAAGTTCAAAGAAGTTTCATTGCGTTGGTTGCCCGGGATCTACAACTGCGGCTAACTTTTCTCTCTAATTGATTCAGACGCTGTTCGTTTTTTTTTTAGATCGGTATCGGTATTTTTCATCAGTTTCTAAAGTGTGAAGAAAATCTTTTACTAAATTTTGGAAACTTACCAAGAGCTTAATTTTTCGCTGCGAATAAGCACTTTACAAAATGTATTGAATTTGTTTTGCCTCACTGGGAAATAATTCGTTGTCTCAGAACGCAATCGAATACCTGTATTCTAAATTCGCGCAGACCTTGTCAGAGGCATGAAACGAGTCAAACTTTACTAAATTTACGTTTCAAGAAAGATGTAGTTAATAAAATACATACGCAAGCAAGGCTGTTAAAAATGGGGAAAATCGATCCAAAGCACGGAGAAAATACTGTACTGCAATACAGTATTTCCATCGAATGATGGACGTCTATGATCGAAGTAATACTGGAGAGTTTGAATTTTAAGTCGGCTGTCACGGTCGTGTTAATAGCGTGTTGATGAAATAAACACGGAAAACTCGACGATGAAGCGTGAAGAATATAAATAATCTTTCATTAATCATCATACATAACAATTCGAATGCCCAATCTCGATCGATAACGGATGGTATTCACGCGGTCATCTATGCTTAAAATGGTCTGATCACCACGCCAAGATGGATGCGAACGAAACGTCTCAAATTAGTACCTGATTACTCCGTCAGCTATTGGTACTACAGAAACCAGCAATGCATAAAAACTACAGTTGAAACGTTTATCCGATAAATCGAAAAGCTCATTCAGTTATTTTCCCCTCATATAATGTTTTATAACCGTGCAATATGAGTTGGTCAATAATTGCACATGACACCCAGTACGTGTTGCTGTTAGTGTGATCAGTTAAAAGTGTACCTTTAATGTATTTTTTCCGATATTTAGGAATCTCTTTCTCATAAACCAGTGTCTTGCAGCACTTACACAAGTCCACCTAGGTTCAGGAAGAGTACATCGGTGCGTTTCCCAATGAGGGTTAAAAAAAATAATAATCGTGAGGGCCCCACGTCCAACATATCCAGACGACCGTTTCAACTGTCCCTCGTCGCGCATGGCGAAGTGACGACGTATCCAAGAAGACGAAGTGTGAAAAATAAAAAAGGACGCCGTGCGGTCAAATGTCACTTTCCTTTTTTAAGGCGGAATTCCCGCCGTACTCCGGTGCGGCGTACAGAAATGAATGGAGGAGCAGGCGCAAGAAACTCATGGGATGCGGAAATACCGCCGTGTTTGGATTGTTACGCCACAGCGCAAAACGTGCCGCGCCTCTTGATGGCAGTCGCGTTTTCCCTCCTTGACCCCGATTCTGTTCATTTCCACGGTTATCTCTGGCATCCCACTGCTTTTTTTTTCATACTTGAGGCACTTTTTGTCCGAAGAAAATTCAACCCCGCATATACTCTATCAACTTCCGACTTTCATTCACCAACCACAATTCCGCAAGGACCCGTAACAACGTATGAAAACACGAATTTTTCGCGAAACAATCAAACAGACGTTTAAATTTCCACATCGGACATTACACAGCATCCACCGCTACTCGAATGTACGACGCAGAAAAATGATGAGTTGGAGGAAAAAGTTGATTCTACGATTGCAAGTTTGCGGCTTATCCTTCATCGGGTCATAAACGGATTGCGAAATCCAATCGAACTTTACCAGAAGGGAAGAATCCACCAAGACATGACTTCACTTATGCGCTTCAAAACACAGAAAGGATTCCTTCGCAAAAATTTACTCGCGTCTTTGCATAGAAATGAACCAGGATGAACCAATTTAAAGTTTTATGTTTAGGAGAGAAGAAACGGAGGAACGCTCTTCTCACGTTGTTTCGTTTCCTTGCGACCTAAACAAAGTTTGTTTTAGCGAAACGATAGAGCAAGACACTAAAAAGCTTCTGCTCATTGGTGTAGCTAGCTGAAAAAAAAGAAGCAATCGTGTTCCCTATTTTGCAGTGTTTTCTAACCTGTGATCAACGTAGCCCGAAGGGTTCAATTTTCACTTTCCTGGGGCTCCGTGGTGACTTCAGGAAAGAAAACAAAACCGGGAAAAAATACGCAAATTATATCATGAGATGCATGATGATGCGTGATAAGTTCAAGACAAGTAACAGCGAAAATATACGAGACCACTGATGGAGTGCATGTATCGCAAGGTACGGGTCATTAACTTGAATACCATCAAGTTGCAAGCCATGCAATAGGCCCCAGGGGCTCTTTCGCAGAAAAATTTGTTTAAAAGGGCTTCTCGCATCGAAAAGGTTGGGAACTTTAAGTTGTGGGGAAATACACGATGATGCAAATGTTTCCGTCTTTTTCTGCTGACACTTAAACCGCTTAATCAAGACAAATTCATGTCGTGCAAGTCGTACAAAAGCTTCCAACGGTGGAAGCGCATACATGGGGATGACAAAGCAAATACCGTCTGTTTTCTTTCTCTTTTTCGCTACGATTTAACCAAGTTTAACTTGCGAAATTTCTTCGGGCGGGGGAAAAGCTGACACAGAAAGAAGCGCGCGATGGCTGCAAAGAAAAAGTAAACCCTTCGTCGTCGTGACGCAATCGAATCGATGAAGTCCGTTTATTTTTCGAGTGATCGATGCGGATTTTCCGGAATCGATTTTGTGTCACAAACCAGGATCCAGTGTGTTGGATCGCTGACGCAATCTGAGCAGCGCCGGGGGGTAAACATTTTCAAATCGTAACCCCAGAAAAGGGTTTTCTTCCTCGTCCGGTTCGGTCCAGTCCGCGGGTCGCGAGGAGATATGGGGAAACACGAGCGCGGATATTGCTCGGCAAGGTGCGAAGAAACCTAGTTATTCGGCTCGGATTCGGAATTTAGAGTCGGAGCCGATGATGGATCGCCGCCCAGGGGTATCACTCATGGCACCACACAGCGAGCGAACGCCGAGGCGGCACGGCCGCAATCCATCCATCCATCCATCCCACCCGACGACCGGGGGAAAACGCAAAGCGCACTTCTTTCAACATTCCGGGATTGTTTTCGATCCGGTCGGGTGCGTGTGGCCGAGAACTGGACACGTTGCCCACGCCGGAGCGTGAAAATGAGGCGGCGAGAGCAGCCGCCGTGGGCCACGCGATTTTGATGGATGCCACAAACTCAAGAATTGGATTGCTAAATTATTTATCAATTCCCTCAGGGGCCACGATCTTCCCAACTGCCGCTCCTCGAGTCTGCCGACGTAAGCAGGGTTATCACTACCGACGCTGGTCATCCGTCATCCGCGCGATTCTTGTCAGGGTTGCTCCAGCAGATGACGACTGGACGCCGCATATTTCAACGCCTTTGCTCACGCTCAGTATCATTAAATCATTTTACACGAAAGCATTCATGCTCTCAAGAAGCTCCTGCAATAACTGGTAAATCTTCGTCTTGAAATTCGAATCCCCAAACCACCTCCAAACGGGTTAGAGTATTCGTTTCGAATTTCCGCGTCTTAGTCCCGAGACTTCCGCGAAAGGGAACAGCAGCCTTCCATCACATGATACGAAACTACGCGGTTTATTCGAAAATCTTGAGCACTTCTAAGATTCCCATACTTCAAAAACGTTAATTGAACGAGAAGTTGCTGGGAAGGAATACGGTAACACTTCGGGTTCTTCTCAATGGAAGTTGCCCATAAAAAGGCTTCTATATTCTTGTGCAAACCTTTTACGGAAATCGAATTTTTAAAAAAGTTAGTTTAAATTCGGTTTGACATTACAGGTTAATTTAATAGTGTTTTAAATGAGGGCAGATGGATTTTTACAATGCAGCGCCGGCGTTATGAAAAACAAAAATGAAACAGGAGCAGGCAGATTTTAGAAATAAAAGCCAGCACTAAGTCCCATTTAATTGTTCGAAAATGGCGATGGCTGATACGCAGTAGGATAGAAGAACTTGTCAACAGAACACAGCCACCAGAGAAAAAGACATGCAGACTTCATTATACAGTAGTACGTAATCATGTGATCATAGGTCATGCGCAACAATCGGACGCGCCATAATTTTTGGCAGGGATATTATGGGAAAAATGATACAGTATAACAACATTTTTAATCGAGGAAAAATGCGGCCGATGCAGTGGCATAACCTAGAAAAATTCAGAAAGAATTGGTGCGTTCGTTATGGGCCGCAATGGTGACTGCGGTGTGGCCTAGGCGCAGATAATCGAATGCCGCCTGTACTCGAATCTTGCACGTCGAATATTGGCAGCACCTGAGTTTTTAGCTGCCCATTTTTTGGGGGAAAGTGCGGCCTTTAATCGCATAAATACAGGGAAATTTAAGCAGGTAGATTATTTCGCCTTTTAATTCGGGCCCTGTTTTGCGACAGGCGAGGGATTGGAGGGAACGCTTCAGAGTGGAACTGATGATGCCTTCACTGCTTGACTCGTACGGTTTACAGCGCAAGTTTCCCTAAGAGATTTCAGCGGATAGGAAACAAAGACAGGCGTCATGCCCATGGGAATAATGCCGCCCAGTTGAAATATCCGCTCATCCCCCGGATACAGTCGGCGGGATTGAGACGTTGTTCCCTCGCCCAATCTCATTTCGCATTCCCGGTGGGCAGATACCCGGC